GACACTACCAAAGGGCCACGTAGCGCCGTACACAAATGCAATAAAACATGTTAAAAATGTTTATGTGTACATATATTAAGATTTTCCATGCATGTGTATAGTTGTACTCTTGTTTAGCAAATGAGAATAAAAACTTTTGAAGAAAACAAAAAATACTTATTTTAGCAAGATGAAGTGGTGTTTGCGTTATATTTTTTAACCCTTCAGTTTTCCCTATTTTCGCTTTCTAAACTATGACATCACAGAAAATTTTTGACGGAACTAACACATAAGGCCTGGATTGTTGTCTCCATTCTCCTCTGGCTCCAACATTTAAGGCTGGATGGACAAGTCTTCTGTTGTTGACATCTTTTATTAATTTGTAAACAAAAAAAGTTTGTGCCCCACTATGTAGTCATAAAAAAAGTCTATCAAACTAGAATGGACTGCTCTGGAAGCTGGAGGGGGTCAGGGTTGAAACGAGTTGATCTGGGACACACCTCAGAAAAGGGGTGAAAGAGTGACTTGTGGAACAATAAGGATGGAATAAGGAGGAACTCAGAAACATTGCAGTTCTACTTTATATAGACCCAAACTGAATGATTTCAATGGGAAAAAGAAGGATTTAAAAGCATACGTCTCTCCTTTAACATAAAAAAAGATTTCAATTAAACAGATACTTCCTCAAAACTCCAGCTTTGAGCTTTCTTCCAATAAAGCCCAACATGTGGTACAACATGTAACAGTCCACTCTTCACAGGGACAGAGTTAGGTCAGGGTTAGCACATGTGGCAGAACAAGCAGCTTTTTGCAAACATTGTAAAGAGTTTGGACCAAAAGTTCGACTGTTTCTGCATTCCTTCACTGCCACTTCTGCTCTGCAACCAGCCTGTTGCCACATCAGAGTGACACTTGTGGATTAAAGCCAGACATTGTCAGGCCATTATCAACACCCTGTCATGTGCGGTCGACCACTGTGCTCCCGTCTTCTGCGACTGTGTGTGTGGAGCGTTATTGTACGTGATGTAAAAACAAAATAAACAAAATAAATAAAAGTGTGTGGGAGGTGATTTCAAGATGAAATATGCCTCCCTGCTCATGCTCTTTCTCAGGGGATCATGCTTGAGCAAAGCTGCATGAAGCCACACGGAAGTGAGTGAAGTGTTTGTGAGCAGCAGGCATCTCTCCTTTTTTGCCTTCCTGGTGAGTTTCTTCCCTCGCTTCTTTTCGTCAATTCCCTCTACAAAATTGCCCGTTGTTCACCACAGGTACAAAATAACCACTTTTCTGATCTCCGCACACAAGCTTTCTATTTCCGTTCTAGAAACTTCTGTTTTCTCTCCTCTGAGTTTCCTCTTTCAGATGTTGCACATGACAACATGTGTTCACAGTCACACCGTTGTCTGTGCGTCTGCAGACTGCTTCCTGCTCTTTGACTGTGCTTTGATAGGAATATCCTCCTACAACAGTTAGATCAAGCCTTCTTTAGCTGACACATTTATCAGACTTTTCCTGACACAAATCACAGTTCCTGACTCCTGACGTGATACAGACGTTGCCAGATGTGATAGCAGCTGAGAGAACGAAGTGAGGGGCAGGCAGAGATAAGGAGGGTCTGTGTGAACCGTGTGATGACAGGGGGTTGGGGGTGTTGTTATGGTTCTTGTGCTGTTTTTAGCTGTTTGAGCTGCAGTTTATAGGCAGTAACAGACAGTGAGTGAGAGTCAGAGTGATGAGGAAATGAGCAAAAGAGGGGAAATGATCAGTAATCTGCAACGTTAACCATCAGCCTCGCAACAGCCCGTCTGGATCTCATTATGAGTAAGTTCATTTGACTGAGAGACCAGAACCAAAATGTGCAGAAGCAAATGAGGAAGTGTATATA